AAATTATTTAGAAAATCTCATACTAATCTTGAATCGAATCAATCAACAGTTTCATCTGATTATCATTTAGATCAATTGATTTTTCTTCATACACGTGAAGTAAATCCTTTAACAGCAACTCTTGTTACTGGCGGTAGTATGGGTTGGATTTGGTGGTGGTCTATTCATGTAATTGGAAATTTAATTGCCGTTTTTAATGGAGCAAGAAAACCTCAAGGTTTTATTATAATATTTAGTTTTTTCTGTCTTTTTGAGAAAACAATTTTGCTTCTAGAACATATTTTAGCAATGTGTGTTGATGAAAAATGTAATATTTTATTTACATGTAAGTTTTATATATAAAAATATTTTGTTGTAATTTAATCACGAAGAAATATTAGCGGATACAGCTGGATATGTTGCATTATGGTTTATTGGTGATTATGCTTGTAAACAACCGGATTCAAAAGAAAAACAAATGAAATTAATAGAAGAAAAAAATCGAATATTAACTAAATTTTCTTCTAATTTACATACAACTACTCACGGTTTGTGGATAATTGAGTATCATAACAGTTTTAAATCGATACAATAAAATATTTTTGAATAGAAATACAAGAAATGAGAAATCAAGCTGAACACAAACTACGAGATCATTTAGGAACACCATCAATAACTATAGATCAAGATCGAGCAACATTTTTAACGAATACTGTTATTTATCCTCATTTATTAATTACATATCGTGCACATCTTCGACCAATAACATCAATAGTTTATGCGAATGATCGTGAAATTGTTATAACAAGTTCAATTGATTGTACAATACGATTATTTACTCTTACTGGACGATATATTGGTTTTATGGGTCAATCAGTTTCATGGGGATTATTAAGTTCAACGATAATATTAAAGGAGTATGTTGTTTTATTTAATTGAATAGTTAGATAATAGAAAACATAGTTTACCAAAACGCATTCCTGAAGATATACGTCGAAAAGGTTCAGCAACAACACTAGAAGTACTTCGTGGTGATATTGGAAAACGATGGAAATTATTAAAACATACAATTGTTGCATGGACTTCATTACCTATATTTCAATACTTTTGTAAGTTCGAATTTTTTGAAAATATTATTTAAGAAATTTCAAATATTCAGATCATAAGAAAGATGTTGAAATTCAACAATCATCTGATGTTATTCAAGAACAATCAAATATTCATAATGAAATGAATGGTTTAGTAATAAATCATTCACAAAAATTAGATACTGAAGTTAAACACGAATGGATACAACGTCGTGAACGTCTTTATCATAAGATTGGATTAGATCGTGTAGATTTTGTATCGATTACTAAAGCGCCATCGACTGAATCATTACTTAGAACTCAACGAGATAATTTTGGTATTAAAATGCCTGTACTTGGTCGATTTGTTCGAAAATATATGCAACATAGACCAAAATCTGACTTCGAACATATAAAAATTCATGGTGGAAAAGTAAGAAAACATTGCATTATTAAAGTAAATTATTCGATTATTTATTATTATAGGCAATTATTTATTCTCTATTACCATTAGCATCATCACCTCATAATATTCCAGAAATCATATTGAATTCTGATGAAATTCAAAATGATATTTTCTCAGAATATATTGATACAAAATTGAAAGAGAAAGAAAGATTATCATCTCTAAAATTGAATGGAAATTCAATTATTCCTTCTAGTGAATTATTTATAAAAGAAGATAAATTACCTGGAATAAAAAAAAGGCAAAATCGTCAAATATGTTAATTGAATAAATTTTGAAGAAAAAAAAATTTTATTTTTATGAAAATCTAGACGACAAAAGTATTGTTGTTTCTAATGTTTTGTCTTTCTCTTAATTAATAAACGGCGCACTTGTTGTTTTCATGTATTTGAAGATTGATCAGACTATAGAGATATATTTATTTCAAAAATAAAAACAAAGAGATTAGAATGTACGTCACAACGGATGAGCAACATCTGAGATATCTATTTTCGATATGTCATATATATTTAGATTAATCTGATGATAAAAATATTTTGAGATTTAATATGATTTCAGATCTTCATTTACTTACGGATAAACATAAAAAATTTATTATCAAAATATCAATATCATATGCAAGTCTATGACATTGTAACTGGCATAGTTAATTATCGTATTTCGCAGTTTTAATTCTAGATAAAAATAAATAATTATATTGGTATAAGAAAAAAAAGTAGTATGTACGCGTTTGTTTAAAATGAAAAAAAAGAAAGTCGTTAATTATCCATGAAAGTATTCAGTGATTCTTTTTTTTATTATATATTCACCTCTTTTTTCTAGCAATGCTAGATTTACTATTTACAACACATATATCATTCTATTTCAATACTCTCTTTTTCTGAATAATTCATAACGTTCCATGAAGTATTATATCAACTTTTTCAGCATACAGCTCTTATATCTTTTACGTTGAATAACTCTTGTTCTTTTTCTTTATCCTCATATTTTATTAACAAATGTCATTAAATAATTTTCAATACAATCGTTATGATCTATAGTCATCTTGTCAAATGTATTATTTTAGCAGTAAACATGCAACAACAAAAAAGTTTCATGAAAGAGTATTTCACCAAAAAATAGTTTTTTTCATGATGTTTAATTATTTTGTAAGCTAACATTGAATGACCAATAATCAAAATTTCTAATAAAGAACTATATATCATTGTTATAATCTTCTCATATATATTTTTTGACTCCTATCAAAAGAACATACACTACTCCGTATTCTCTCTGTAATACTATCTTCTCTTTCTGTTTATCCTGTGGTTTTCTGATCGTATATATAGCAGAGTGATTCTTGAATAAAATAAACAGGATCTAACCGAGGCACACGTGAAGCTTGTAATCATCGTTGATAATAATGAAATATATAAGTTTAATATCCTATAAACTATTTAGAAAATCGAACATAATTTTCGGTGATGTCAGATAATCTGGAAAAATTTTATTTGAAGTTTATTAATGATAGAAGACATAACAAGTAAAAGGTGTGGAAATATTAGAGACAATCTGATGAGCTTATTTCTTTGAAGCGAGAATCCTTCGAGAAGCTCGGCGCGATCGATGCCATCATTGTAGGAGCGGGTGTTCAGAGTGTGGATGCGATGCGGGCAAGGGTGTGAGTGAGTGGATGAGAATAAATGTAGGTGTAGATGTATAGGTATGGATTACTCTTCTTCCATATCAGCATCCTTACCCACATTCACATTACAAAACCTTTCGAGGTGATTTATTTCTTTTCCGGATTACTTGACATATTCTAATTTACAACTCAATATTTAATCTAAGTATATAAATATAGAAGATTAATTCTATTCTGATATGAACTTGCCTAAACAAGACAATAGTACTTCATATTTTTATAGTTTACTTAAAATCATCTGAATAGATTATTTGAGATACAAAAACTAAAGTAAGTCAATAGTACTGATATCTTTTTTCCTAGTTAAATAAATGAGATGTACTTAAATAATAATATATTTATTACAAAGCATAAGTTAGATAAAGAAACTCTTAGATTAATTATTCAAACAAAATATATTATAAGCAATTGAAATCGTTAAGTAAATTTTCTATAAAAGTCAAAAAAATGTATGTTTTATATACTTTTTAAGATTTGAAAAATGAATAATTAAATAGAAAAAAAAGGAAAAGAATCTTCTATTATATAATAAATTTCATATCTTATACTTCTTATTTAAGCATCATTAGAAAAAAAGAATGAGTTCCAACGAAACAAATTTATTATTATGGCCATGTCTTGATTCATTACATCTTAATCCATGGAATCTTTCATGTATAGCATGTCGTTTAGGTGGTGGAATTATTTTGATTATATCAATTGTATGTTTTATATTTAATATTCGATTTTTATTTACTCAACGACGTCAAAATACTCTTGTTATATCATTATTCTTAGCATCACTTTTAGTTATAGTTATAAGTGTACCACGAGTTCTTGCACAATTATTTGCATGTCGACGTCAATGTTCAACAATCTATTGTCGTATTGAAGGTTTTGTTTCATATGTTAGTGGTTGTGTATGTATGCTAGTTTTTACAATATTATCAATACATCGGTATATATCTTTATGTTCGTATCATAAATTTTTTTCATATAAACTTTCAACATTTATATGTTGGTTCTTAAGTTTTATATTTGCATTTCCATTAGTATTTGATTATTTTAATTCTTATATACCTGAAGGACTTGGTTTTCATTGTAGTATTAATTGGCAAGATCAATCAAATATAAGTCGTTTGTATATATTATTTTCATTTATTCTTATGTATTTCTTTCCATTATTAATACTTTTTGTTGTTAATTTTCGTGCTCATTTCATTGTTCGTCATATTTATTCAAAACATTATTTAAATTCATCATTTCTTCAATATTCATCTCAAATATCAACAATAAAAATTCACCAACGAATACATTATTTTGAAATTGATAATCATAAATATTATATACATCAAGCTAGTGATCGAAAACGTTTTCGATTAGATTATCGATTTTTAAGAGCAATTATATTTCTTGTTAGTAGCTATATACTTGCATGGACACCTTATTCAATCGTTGCAATATCACAATTATTAAATATTAAATTTATTTTTCAACGTACAGTTTTAATAACATTAGCAGCTTTTATTGCTAAATCATCTGTTATTTTATCACCATTTGTTTATTTAAGTGTTATGAATAATAGATTATTTAAAAGACTTTTATTTAAATAAAATATTTTCTAATGAATCAAGCATAGTTAAGTTTATGTTTTTCAGCAAGAATTTAGTAATGCATATTTTATTAGTTTGATTGTTCGTTTTTCTTTTTATAAATTTCAATAGATATAGTATAATAACACATTTTTTTTGATATATATCCTTTGACGTTCTGTCTATTTCCTTATTGATATTCTTTTATAGACTTTTATTCTAACCTTGTTGTGTCATTTGTAAAGAATATTCTTAGCAATTATATATAATTACTAGATGATATATGACATAAAATTGTCAATTGGTCTAATACAATATCTTTCTCATAACGCCACTCTGTATACAATAAATAGATAACATAACAGAAAAATGAAAATCGAAGGTATTGAATTTGATATTACTATTTCTACTTCAGATAATTATAGTTTTAATATGAATGGGAAAAAATTATATTTATATCATATTCTAATCGATATTGATTTTAGAAAGTATATCTATATACATAGAAATTTCGATTATTTATTAATGAGTCAAAAAAGTTAATAAATCGTTGTAAAATATTAAGAAGAATCTGATTCATAAAATAATATTAACTGTCTAGTCAATAAATCTTGATATGTGAAGAGTTTATTTATTTCTCATTAGGATATAAACTATTTTTATCAGCTGTCTAAAGAATAAGTTTATATGACATTGAATCAATTCACAAGTGTTCTTGAAAAACACAATATTTTAATAATTTGATTAATGAGAAAACTAAAATGAACGAGCAGGACAGCTCGATAAAGAGTGAGACAATGTACTAATCATATTCGCTATGAAATTCTCTCATTTCGATCAGTATTATATATCAAAATATGTTTCCCCGAGTTTTCTAACAAATATGCAAATTGAGTAAAACTCATGCAATTCTTTTCTCTTTATTACAATGTCAACGTACAATTCAACAGTCATCACAAGAAATTTTCTATAAACTCACAGATACCCAGTTATCAACCATACTCATGAATTTTAAATCAAACGCTAATTAAAGATCAATTGTTCACGCTCCTATTCTTGCCGAATAATATTAAGGCGGCCTTTCTCACAACTAGCTAATAATCATCTATATCCCATTCATTTATACATCCGAAAATATTCGGATCTTAATAGAACATCGCATTTCACATCTCAAGAATTTATTTTGAAAAATCTTATGCTGACCAGTATTTCTCTTATCCATTTTCTTCTTTCTAGAGACACTTTCTCCTCTCTATTAATCAATTCGTTAATAAGCAGTATATCTATCCACTATTCATAAAATACAGGCCATTCTAAACAACGAGATACAATTATATTCGATTTCGTAGTATACAATAATCTCTAATCAACTACCACAAATATCACTATAAAAATAGATCACATAGACAGCGGCACCTCTCAAAAAAAATCGATCCCATTTATATTGTTACAACACACAGTGCAGATAGAGTGAGCGTTTTATTTATATTTTGGTACCTTGATACTCAACATAGAAACTTGTCCGAAAATTCATAAATCGTTTTCTGATAGTAATCAGTATATCGTCGATACCAGCAATTATAATTTTGCCACGCTTTTGTTTTGTTCAATCAACTGATCGATTTCATTCTTGAGTTTGCCACTGATGCGATTCAGGACGAGACTTAACATGGTTAGTGTCTATATGAACAAGTTTACATGGATAGATCAAATAGATCGCGAAGAGAATGACAACTACCGTATTAGTTCGTAATCCCTCTACTATATGCTGTGCTCCAATATCTCCGATTTCATTATATTCGAGAATTAATGTGGTCAGTGTCTACACGAAATAGTACAGACGAATATATAAGATAGATGAAAAAGGGAATGATAGTTACTGTATTATTTTGTAATGCATCAGCTAGATACTGTGCTCCAACATCTCCTATTTCATTTCCATGGAGTTTTAATGTGGTAAGTGCCTGTATGAAAAAGTGTAGATGGATTTATGAAATAGATAAGGAAGAGAATGATAGTTATCGTATTATTTCGCAATACATCTGCTATATGCTGAGCTCCAACAGCTCTGATTTGATTCCAGCCGAGATTTAATGTAGTAAGTGCCTGCACGAACAAGTATACATGGATATAGAAGATAGATGTGGAAGAGAATGTTAATTACCGTATTAGTTCGTAATACATCTACTATATGCTGAGCTCCATTAGCTCCGATTTGATTCCAGCCGAGATTTAATGTAGTAAGTGCCTGCACGAAAAAGTATACATGGATATATAACATAGATTAGGAAGAGAATAATAGTTACCGTATTATTTCGTAATGCATCTGCTAGATGGCGTGCTCCAATAGCTCCCATTTTATTGAAGCCTAGATTTAATGTGACAAGTGTCTGCATGAAAAAGTGCAGATGTATATAGGCAGTAGATGTGGAAGAGAATGTTAATTACCATATTACTTCGTAATACATTTGCTATATGCTGAGCTCCAACACCTCCGATTTCATTGAGCTCGAGATCTAATGTGGTCAGTGTCTACACGAAATAGTACAGATGAATATATAAGATAGATGAGAAAGGGAACGATAGTTACTGTATTATTTTGTAATGCATCAGCTATATGCTGTGCTCCAACATCGGTGATTTCATTCCCCGCGAGATATAAAGTCGTAAGTGTCTGTATGAAAAAGTACAGATGGATACATGAAGTAGATGAGGGAAATCATGATAGTTACTGTATTATTTCGTAACGCATCTTCTATATGCTGTGCTCCATCAACTTCGATCTCATTGAAACATAACTTTAATTCGGTAAGTGTCTGTATGAAAAAGTGCAGATAGACATATGGAATATAAGAAGATGTGAATATTAATTACGGTGTTCATTCGTAAAACATCTGCTATATGCTGAACTCCATCAGCTCCGATTTTATTGGAGCCGAGATCTAATGTGGTAAGCGTCTGTATAAAAACGTGCAGGTGGATATATGAAATAGATGAGGAAAAGAATAATGGTTACCGTATTATTTCGTAGTGCATCTGCTATATGCTGAGCTCCAACAGCTCCGATTTCATTGCAGTAGAGATCTAATGTGGTAACCGTCTGTATGAAAAAGTGCAAATAGATATATGGAAGAGATGAGGAAGAGAATATTAGTTACTGTATTCTTTCGTAATGCACCTGCTAGATGTTGTACTCCCACGTCTCCGATTCTATTATCAGAGAGATGTAATTCGGTAAGTGTCTGTATGAAAAATTGCAGATGGATATATGGAAGAGATGAAGAAGAGAATATTAATTACTGTGTTCTTTCTCAATGCACCTCCTACATGTTGTGTGCCAACACAGAGATGGGCAACTCCAACTCCGGAGTTGGAGTTATCTCCAGAGTTGACGCTTTTTTACTTGGAGTTAGAGTGGAGTTGGAGTTGATATCGTAGACAACGGAGTTGGAGTGGAGTTGTGAAAAACGAGATAGAGTTGGAGTGGAACTGTGAAAAACGGGATAGAGTTGGAGTAGAGCCTTAAAAAAATCGATGGAGTTAGAGTTGACATCGCAAACATTGAAGTGGAGTTGTGAGAAACGAGATGGAGTTGGAGTGGAGTTGGAGTTGCTTACCCCCGGAGTTGCCCATCTCTGCGCCAATAGCTCCGATTTGATGTCTGCCGATATTTAATGTGGTAAGCGTCTGTATGAAAAAGTGCAAATAGATATATGGAAGAGATGAGCTCATTTCTTTCATATTGCTTTGGTGAGAGAAATGACTTCTTTTTAGGAGATTAATACTTGCTGAAGCAATATGCTTCATCATTATTATTTAATTTAGTCATATCTTCTCAAATCTATGGACTGTAAGAATGCGAAATGATTCGAGGAGAAAAGAAAGATAGACAGTCATGATTAAAAAAGGTTTACCTGATATCGGTAGTAGATATCCAGGATTGTATCAAATCGTTGACAGACATTCCGCATTGAGCACAATATTGTAAGGTCACTCTGATGATCCAGAATTCGATGGATAATTTCTACCGGTAATGTAAGAAAAGTTAGAGGCATTTTATTTAACATTCATTAAAGTTGTTGTGATAGCCTTGTGTGTCGTTTTATGTCGGTGGAATGAAGTGTTTTATTAGCTTTGCTTCTTTCGTTTTACACGAGTTTATATTTGTGATACGTTATCAGTTTCCCATAGTGATGAAATTACTTGTTTGAAGAAAGAGAAGACAGAAAAGTGATGTCAATAGCAACATCGTAGTAACCAGTAGAATTAATGTATTTGTTGGTTAAGTTTTCGTGAGAAGCTTATTTATAATAGAGATGAATATTTTGTTATTAACTTCATTGAATAGAGCCCGAATAAGACATTCTTTGAATTTACTTATTTCTAACCTTGTATTTGATTATTTCACGAGAAAACTAAATGATGGTATAGTATAAAAATAAAATAAAAAGTGTTACTTGTTATTTATGAGCTCTATAGATTGCATGAAACAGTATCATGTCGATTATCAGTTTGCTACAAATATCTATAGTCGAAAATTACAATCTAATACATGAATCGAAGAAAGAGAGCAGTACTGAACGTCATAGTTAAATGAATTAAAACTATTCTATTTATTTCAGGCATTATCAAGAAATGATTACAAATATTGAACCTTAAGAAGATGCAGTTTATCTACAAGAAGTCACGTATCTCTGGTGTTGATGTGAATGAGATAAATAAGATACCCTCCACACCGACACCCTAATAAACTTGTCGAAATATCAGTAATAAATACTATGTGATTAGTTAAATCATAAAATGCTCGTAGCAGTATTATACTTCATTTTCTCAATATTTCGAATTTCAACTGCTCTACCTAACAAATTTCTAGTGAATGAGATAAATAACATACACTCACATCTACACCCTGAATTCGACATTTTTAATTATTAGGTCAAGGATATGATGGAGCGAATGTAATGTCTGGTAAAAATAGTGGTGTTCGAAAATTAATAAAAGATATTTCATCACGTGCCATTTATGTGCATTATTCAAATCATTCATTAGATTTAGTTGTTGCTAAGGTTTGCGTTCGTCAAGTAGTTGAAGCGTTTTTTTGGAGTGATCAAAGCTATTATTATATTTATCAATGATTTACCAAAAAGAAAAACAATGTTAGCTAAAGCTATTGAATCAACTAATAATGAAACAAAACGTCGACATCTTGTTAAATTATGTGAAACACGTTAGTTGGAAAAGTAATCATCGATTATTGTATGTAAATCTTTAAATGATATTGCTTTTCTTATATGAATTCTTATTGTTATTAATCGAGTGTTTTGTATTACTAAACCATGCACCGAACAATTACAAAAATCAGCATGTGATCTTCTTAAATGTTATCAAAGTATAGTACAAATTTCAAGATATTTAGCTGAATTTCTTTACGATGATAAACAATTAGATGAACTTCAAAATAAAATCGACAATAGTTTATCAAGAATAGCTTGTCGTTCTTATTTAACACAAGTAAGAATCGACATATAATTCATCCGCTAAAAATATATTTATTAATATAAATTTTTGATCTTTCATATATATAAAACATTTATCAACATGTCAATCAATGAACATGAACGAAGATTCAACGAATAACAAAAAATTGTTCTGAAAATTGCCAAATTAATTGCATCATTTATTATTGATACACAATTCTCTGATGTGTCAGAAATGTTTAAACATTACAAAGATGATTTGCCAATTGATGATTCAAGTGTTCACAAGGCTGAATTTGATACATGGAAGTTCTGGATTATAAAAATAAAAGATGACAAACGACCAGATACAATCAATGAAACATTAGAGACGATACAACCTATTAAATTATTTTGTCCGAATATTTCTATTCTACTCCAACTTTACGCACTGATTGCAGTATCGATTGCAAGCATCAAGCGTTCATTTTTTACTTTAAAATTAATTAAAACAAAATTACGAAATCGTACAGGTAATGAGCGTTTTAATGATTTAGCTGTTATTAATATTCGTAAAGCTGCGGTGGAAAACCTAAATGCCAGCAGTATTATCGATGTATTTTCCAAATCAAAATACATAATCAATTTCACAAATGAATCTCTTTAATTGTCTTAGCTAACACTAGTATATTTATTTTTTGTTATTTTGTAAATATGTTTATGTATTGACAAATAGAATATTTGAACAAAAATAGGCTCGATATCCTTCACCATATATGAAGAAAGAGTTCAGTAAATGAGTTTTAGAAACTTCGATCCTCCCCTCCACCAAAAAAAGATCCTGCGTGAGTGCCTGGATCTAACACAAACTATGAAAACAAATTTGTGAACTCTCTTGGGAACAATAAAATAAATATTAAAAAAAAAAGAATTAGAATAGTCCATTCTTTGTATTGCATTTTAATAGTAATACGTTAATTAATAATCGATTCAGACTGTTATTGTTATCGTTTTACTCCGTGTCACTATTAATATAACGCATAACGAACGGACTAGTCTCATTCTATTTGTGAGTGCATATGTATATATGTGTTCTTTCTGTCAAATTTTTTTTTCATGTAACATTATGTTTGATGAGGTTGTAAAGTACAACAAAATATCATATTATTATAAATAAATATATATGTAGACTATGTTACAAATTAATAATCGCATTATTAGAAAGAAAATAAAAAAATGTCTTAAAATAAATGACATTAATAATTTACCGTCAGTTATTATGGAACATCTGTGTCAAGAGAAGTGACGGACATCCTTTTGAATGACACTCATTTTGTCTATTTCACTAATACGTAATCTTTTTCTCCCCTACTTTTTATTTCTTTTCTCTCCTCCTCCGCTCTCTCTATTCTCTCTTTCTCCTTGACTTGTCTTTTTTTTTATCTCTCTCTAATATATTCGGAGAACAGTGAGTTGATAGTTGTATTGAGTAAGTGTATCACGTCTTATAGAAATACGAAATGTAAGGTTATTTGAAGTGAGACTCGAAGACGGAATAGAGTCTGAACCTTCGACTTCCACAAAGGAAGTTATATGTATATGAACAGAATATAGTATGTAGTCTTGCTGTGTCAATGATGTACATTTAATCTCACCCCTTTAATACTGTTATTCAATAAAACATTATGTTTCAGTGCTATCCGAACAATTTACACCGTTTCTCCCTTTTAAAACTTATATACATCAATTAGAAGTTTAGTGTATCTCTCTTTTCCGTTAAAACATTCTTCAGCATGTCAATTAGCTTTATAATTGTTCTTTTGTTCTTCACAATAATACCAACTGTTTTTTGTTTCATTGTCTCAGATAGAGTACTATGTCGGCATTAGTTAGTGTTGATCTTCTACCGAATGACATACGTATGGCACTTAAGTGATTAAATCAAGTGTGTTAAAATGACATCGTTGAGATATATATAGATTTTAATATATACCGGACATGTCATACTGTCACTTAGGTTCACTATATCAAAATATTTTCTAACTAGCAATGCGTTCATGCATATCATGCAATTCTCTTCTTGTATACAACGCACTTGAGATATTCAGTTTAAAAAAAGGAGAAGTAACGAAGAAAAATAGCTGTTGAAGGACAAAAGTTAAGCGATGGAAAGAGAATAAACATGAGTATGAAACAAAACAGAAAACAGAACAAGATATTAGTTCTCAACAATCATGTAAAGAACAGAACAATCATCATAATAGGCTGTCTCATTGTGATCTTTTTTTCTCTTCTATTTTTCATCTGATCATAAACAAAGTGTCAGCTTCTACAAGTTAATAGCATAATATTCAGATATGAAAGGTCAGTTGTCAGTTCAAAATACATAAATGAATGTCGAAATACTTGTAAAATATTGCTTCCACGCTAAAAAAATCCATTTAGTAATCGTACTCCTATTTTTTTAGTCGTTTTTTTTCGTGTCCGAATCTCTACTGAATTTTATATTGTGTCACTAATTTATAGAGTTCTATATTTATCCATGATTTACAGTAGCACTTTCCACTATTAGACATCGAATGAATGAATGAACATTGAAACAATATATATAGAGTAAATGTTAAAAAGTATTGTTTAATTTATTATCTATAGGAATTATGGTACTTCTGAACGATGATGGGGTGCCGCTCGACTTGAAGGTCGTTCTTATATTGTTTCTAATACCGAATATCATACTCGTCTTACTCACTGGTCTCTGCACTTACGTCGCATATATATCGAAGAGTTCACCTCGTCTATTACATTTTCTTGGTATAGCCGCCAATTTTTTTTCGCGAGGGGCTCTTGTTAGTATTGTCTCTAGTATTTTACAGCAGCTGCAAGCGGAAAAACTTCGAGTTGTAACGCAACCGACAACAACAGATGCACCATCACATCGTGTTATTAGACGAAGTAGTTCATTGCCCATGATTGCTCCACCCAGTGTGCCATCACCTAAGCTCACTTTTGAAAAAAAACAGGATGCCGATTATCTCTTACTTATTCCGGTACAAATCGATTTGCTTCTTACCGTATTCTTGTACAAGATTTTGACACGTAGAACATTCTTCGAAACATGTCGAACTTATTTAACAACGTATCATAATCGACCAAATCGTATCGTCTGCTGGCACAAATTTACTAACTACAATATTTCAAATTCAGACATTAATGCAACACTCTTTGATTATTGTACTAATCAAACAAATTCTTACATCAATTATGAATACAATGATGTTATCTGCGTCCAGTATCTCTTCAAATTAATCAATATAATTGACACTATAACCAATGTACTTGCGTGGCATCAAGCTATTGTGTTCATTGTCATAAGATCGATTGTCTGCGCATATTGGTGGCAACGGAAAATACGTAAGACTTCGTTCTGGCTTGGTCTTGTTCGTTATCAACGTCGCATGCTGCTCGCCATTCTAATCTATCCTCTGATAGCTTTATATATTGTCATCTTCGTACTTATGTTACCTGTCTACTTTATAGTGATGGAACGACGTCGTATTGATTTAACTCATTATCTTCTATATGCTTGTCTGAAGTTCACAGTCGCAACTATTGCTCATGTTAATCTTTATACGCTATCTAAATGGAACTCGCTCTACTGGCGAAAGAATGTCGTTCTAACAGCAGATGAGGAGCAAGAAATAGGACCTCAGCAGCTTCCTCTATTAATATCTGCACACCTTAACGCTACTCAATGTTAATCTTTTTCACATTCGGTCGTACTGAACAATCATCTGCCTTATGCAACGTTCACAGATCCTGGTGAAGCTGAACATTTTTTCTTAAAATGAAATAAAATTTATCGTTTCTTTCACGCATAAGAGCTTATGGAAATAATATTAACAAGATATTCTTAGAGGGTGTGAGTGTGTACTCTTCATCGTTAATTATTTTTCAAGAAATACGATTGATCTTTGCACAATCTAATAGGAGTATCGAGTTCAACTGATTATTTCAGTCTAGCTTTTCATATTGTTCTAAGTGAACAAATTACTTATATATGTAGGGTGTGGATGTAGATAATAAGAAACTTACATCTACAACTGCTATTTACTTGTTATGTATTTTTTTTCTATTATTAATACTTTTTTTTGTTAATTTTCGTGCACATTTCATTGTTCGTCATATTTATTCAAAACATTATTTAAATTCATCATTTCTTCAATATTCATCTCAAATATCAACAATAAAAATTCATCAACGAATACATTATTTTGAAATCGATAATCATAAATATTATATACATCAAGCTAGTGATCGAAAACGTTTTCGATTAGATTAAAATTTTATACTATACTAATTATAAAAAATAAAATATCTTCTAATGAATCTAGCATAATTAAACTTATGCTTTTCAGTGAGAATTTAATAATGAATATTTTATTAGTTTAATTGTTCGTTTTTCTTTCTTATAAATTTCAATAGATATAGTATAATAGGAAAATTTTTTTTAAATATATGCTTTGACGTTCTATCTGTTTCCTTATTGATAATCTTTTATAGACTTATATTTCGACCTTGTTCTGGCAGTTGTAAAGAATATTCATAGCAATTATAGATGAATATAGACCTCGAATGAATTATTTTACAAATTGTGTACAACCTTCGAAATGAACATTACTTAAAATTGACTGTTTTTTTTAAATATATAATTACTAGATGATATATGACATAAACATATCA